AAAAATAGGTATAAAAATATGTTTTAAAATACTATATATTTAAAGTGTATCATCTAACTCTATCTTTCTTCATAAGTCGAATCTAAAACAACTACTCTTCTAATCGCATCATCAGATGGTCGACGTTTAATGTGACCAAACCATATAAGACGACTCTCTCTAATTTTGTCCGTCACTGGAGCTACACCAAACCTATCACGAATATATTCATTTCACATTTTGTCTCTAACTGTAAAGCCACTCATCCACCAATCATTCCCACCTTGGCAACACTTAACTTAGTTTTATGCTTCTCTTTTAAAGGCTAATATTCAGCGTCATAAAGCATTGCAGGTCTCACCACCATCTTATAAAATTTTCCTTTCAGTCTAAGTGGTACTTTTCTATCACACAATAAGCCCGAAGCATTCCTCCATTTTATTAAATTACAATAAAGCACTCAAAAATTAATTTGAGGCAAAAAATTATATAAGGGGATCTATCGCCGCTTCAGCTCTTCAGCCAAGACATGCCTTAGCTGAAGCAGCCTCCTATATAGGAACTCCCCTCCTCATACCTAAATTGATTTAGCCCATCCGACTCGGCTTGCACTTGGAAGAGCAGGGATCTCTCCCAAAACTTCAACAGCTCCTGACAAAGAGTCATCATCGTTTCCTCTATCCTTTCCAAACGAGCAACAACTCACGCATCTTTTCACCTACTTGAATCCCTGTTGGCTGAGAGTAGTCTCAATTACATCTAGAAGACAGGCAAGCGACCCAGGGCTTCTTCAATGTGATCAACTCCGCCATCCTGACTCAAAAGCCGAAAACCCTCGCTGGCGCGTGGACGACTTTCACCAGCGCCTTGCTCGGACTCTCATATAGGTCAATTAGAGCCATATTATCATCTAGGTTTATCGCACTCAGGTCATTTGCACCATGACTCATCATAAAAAAAAACTTCAAATAGTCAAATCCTGCAAACAAGACCGAAGCCCCTCATATCAAGGAGTCGACCCAACTTAAAAATCGCAATCTACATGACAGGCTCACCATGGAGCACCAGTGAAGGCAACGGGGGAATGCCAGAAGTCATCTGAGTGACAAGACCGATCAGAGGGTCTTGTGTCGCATCAGCAGGTTGGGCGATCGAATCAGATGATCTTGCTTAATCCGACAATGGGAATCCAACCTCCTTCGCAACAACCTTTCCTCTCCTCACCTTTCGATTTCCTAAAGGCGAAGTGAATCAAGTCCTTGGTGGGAACGTTAGCATGAGACTTCAGCATGTTATCCATCACAATGGCTGAGACACGAAAGTCGACCAAAAGAGCAGGGCAAATTAGCAAAGGTAAGGAGCCCCATAGCACCTTATTTATAAGAATCAAAAGTGATGAAATCAAGAAAGCTCAATTATTGAATCATTAATTAAAACTAAATGAGATTTACTTATGCATTTAATTCTTTTATTCTTATTGCAGTATCGCTTTCAAGAAGTAAGAGAATCAAGAAACAAAAAAATGTACATAAGAAAGTGTCGGCAATGATCTTAAAGAGATTTGACGATCCAAAAGAGAGTAGATGGCGAATGTTGACCCACTGTTAGGAGATCGTGTGACTCACTTGACCGAAATGAGTGAAGCCATACAAGTCGAGCAAATCAGGTTATAATTGACAAAGCCACGAAGCGGATAAGAAGACAATTGAATGATCCAAGCACAAGTCATCTGATCGGAAACATGCCCAAAGAGCATACAAGCAAGCCACTATAGAAAAACAGACTCAATGTGGTACCCCCTGCCTCTCAGTAGAGCCATCCCAAAGAACAATCCAATTCCGCAAAGTATCATCGACCATCCCATGGAGACTCCAAAAACCCTTTACCAGATAGTCAACCAGGTTGGATTAGCCGACCGAATCGTACCGACCAAGCTCAGCTGAACCAACTGATCCCTTCGACCCAAAATAAACCAAGCTTAGTCGGTCAAACCAGCAAGCAGCTGGACGATAAGCCCACAATTGTAAAATACCAAAAATATCCTAATACTGGCCTTTTCCAAATGAGTGAAAAAATACTACTTTTCCAAATGAGGGAAAAAATATTACATCACCATTGTACTATCTCCCCAATAAATAGAGAAAATATTTTATGAAAAAGACTATTTATTACTGTTTATCACCGCTTCTCTCTCTCTTACTCTTATTAAATATGTTTTATTCCTTGTGTGTGATTCACAGACAATCTTGGATTCAATACTTTATAAGTTAATTGGGTGTTTTTTTAAGGCAGCTGAGCATTATCAACCAATTATTGTCGATCATTAATTGGTTGTCTGAGCCAAAATTAGCCCAAGTAGCCCCATTGGGCTACATTTAGGGGAACAATTTAAGTCATCTAATTTAAGGTGACACGCTCGTAAACCTTAGTAAAAAGAGTGAAAATGCCCCTCTAAAACTAATAAATGGGGCCGCTTCTATATATGAGAATTTTAAAGCTCCAACCATCATATTAGAAACCCCACAATTAGACTTTTATTATGTTTCTATAGTTTCCCAATCTTCTCTGCTAGCAAGAGAAAAATCATGCCAACTAATTCCCACCTCTAATGATCAAAGATCATCATTGTCTATCATCTGATACTCATCATCAATCAATGCTCATGTCTGATGCCTATAGCCACCCATCATTTAAAGTCCATTAGCGACTGGTGCAAAAGTTAGCAGCTCTCCAAATTTCAACGTTAATCGTCACAGGATGAGTGATGACAATCAACCAACAACAAAATTAAAAACCAGTATAGGAGATAGGCACATGTATTCAAAATTTTTACATCATAATCTCATCCTCTATAATCATATGAAAGGTAAATCATTGTAACTGTCGAGTTGTATTAGTGGAACTATCATTAAATTGGAAGGGTCTAAGAATTTTTCTCTTTACAAGCTTTTCAAGTAAAAATTATATGTCTCCTATATACAACTTCTTTTATATTTGCATTAGAAATATTTGTGCAAACTATGATGTAATTACTAATCTATAACATCAAGAAGTTTAGGACATTACATTTTTATTCAATGTTTATATATATATATATATTTATTTATTTGTCACAACTCTACGATTCAACAAAATAAAGGCAGAAATGTATATGAGAAAGTCATGTTCATCGAAACCAACAAAAATCAATACCTTATAGAAGATAACTAATCATTTATAGTATAGATCTAATGTATCATAAAAATCCTCAAAAGTTTTGTTGGTAGTCCAAGCACACAAAATAAACAATGATCAATATGCAATCATGCATTGCATCGATCAACAATTTCCAATTCACATAAAATATTTAAAATTCCTTGAATGTCCTAGCAATGATTAGTATGCTATAGATAAAATAGGTATAAAATATCAATCATCACTCTATATACCATGGATTTCTATTAAGTTCATACTCTATCATTCGCCTAGCTCAATACCGTTGTTATAAGCTAATGTTGTATCCCATTTGCAATTATAGGCAATCTAATCACCACATTTTGCATTAGAATTTCCTTTGATGCTCCTATTATTACCATGGATTTCTATTAAGTTCGTACTATATTATTCGCCTAACACAATACCGTTATTATAAGCTAATGTTATATCCCATTTGCAATTATAGGCAATCTAATCACCACATTTTGCATTAGAATTTCCTTTGATGCTCCTATTATTACTACATTGCCTTTTGGATGCTCCATTGACACTAACTTTCTTGTGACAAAGTTTGCTTAACTGCAATAAGCACAAGTTTGTGCTTAATCAATTGTGTAAGAAACTAATGCTAAACCACCAGGCTGTTAGGAACTCTTAAGCACTTAACAGACATTCAAATAAAAATTTACTAAAATTTTTTTTTAAATAGCGGAAGAACTAAACCATGGCCTAGTGGTTCATACCTCAATTTTAAAATTTGGGGTCATAAATTTTACCCATACTCCTCATACTGCTACTCCATTTTGAAAAGAATCAAGCATGATTCATATTAGCTCATATCAAAGCTTTGTCCCAGTCAATATCTCTTCCTAAGAACATGTAATAGACATTGTACCAACTTTATAAAATGTGTAATAGTTTTCTATCTTCTCTTTTTTACTTATTTTATATAGTAGATATTTGTTCCGCTAATATTTACACCACGTGAGCTCAAAAGTCTTAGGGGTTGTTGGGTTTAGTGAATTTGTGGTGTACTATAACTCTTTTACAGAAATTTGAGACAATTATGTATTTGGTATGAAGAATTATAAATACAATGTAAAGTACGAATGAATTTGAAGTTTACATTATAGTTCATTTTAGCTAATTTTAGAATTTAACTGATTTGGTTGAATTTGAATTACATAATACAAGTAAAATATTATAGGCAAGTCGACGCACCCACCCTTGACGGTCGTCCGTCGTCGCCGTCCTCCATCATCGGTCATCTGTAGCCTCCATCGGTTGTCAGCGCCGCCCCCCCTATCCCAC